TCGGACAGTTGATTTTACCAAATATTATTATTATTTAAACCATATTCGGACAGTTGAAAACTCGGACAATTGATATTTCGCTATTCTTTAAAATAATTTAATAAACTCGGACAAATGAAAACTCGGACAGTTCATTTATCTAATTATTATCAGTTATTTATCAAAACTCGGACAAATGAAAACTCGGACAACTGATTTTTCAAATATTTTGTAATTTTTAACAAACTCGGACAGTTGAAAACTCGGACAAATGATGTGATCCCAATTTGCAAATAGTTATTAAATTTTGATTTTTTTTTTTATTTACTAGGAGAAACCCGTCGAAGTCTGACAGTTGCTGTTGAGGTTGCAAACAAGACCGTTTGACTATACATCGATGATAAAGAACTCAATTTTTTTTAAAATTTGGGTTGTTCGTGATTTAGCAGTGTGCTTTAGGTACGTCCGATCTTAATAATCAATAATTCAAAGAGAAGCTGGTATTTCACTGAAGGTTCTTAGGTCAAAACAAATAGAATAACGTAATTAGAATTGAGTAAATATAGGGTGTCCCAAAAAGAACTGAAACATTTTAAAGGCAAATACTGATACCAAATAAGAGACTATGTTGAATGTTTAATATATGTATTTAAAGCTTAAATTCTTAAGTTTTGTTAGAAACTTAGTATAATTCGATCAGAGCATCATTAGTGGCCCGGCATAATTCCGCTCTGGCTATTTTCATTCGATTTTCAAATCCGCGGGGGTCAAATTCCGGCCGCGAACAAACTTTTGACCAATCTGGTTACTACGCCATAGTGACGTCAGCTTTGCCCAGGGGGTAAAATTCCAGGGGGATAAAATTCCCTTTGTTATTCTTTCAATTTATTACCTTATTGAAATCAGGTGTTATTACATTTGTTTGTATTCTGTTTTGTTTATTTCAGCTTAACTTAACCAATCAATAGTTTTATTAATACTTAAGAAGTCGATCGATGGGTGAAGCCCGTGGGTTAAAAATTAAAACTTGATTTCTCAAAAACTGAAACCGTAAACTAAAATTATGGCTTCAACATTCCCTATTTCTCAAAACTGTCTTTCTTTCAACACAAAAAACTATGAAAATGCATCAAGTGGTTGATTCAGAACCGTGAAATAAAAAAAAACCTGTTACGTTTTAATATATTATAATGTTCTACTAGAAGTAAAAATACCCCCGCCGCAGCAAACCTGCAGACTAAGCGAATTTCAACTTGTCTGATTACATTTTTACTAAAATATTTCCATAAATAATACATATTTATTCCCTATTTAAATAACATTAGATTTGACGAGTGCTTAGGTTTGCTGCTACGGGGAAGGTAAAAAGTGTTTTTGACCATGCGTCAATAGTATAGGATGAAATAAATAAATTTGCCAAATTTTATCAATATATATCCATAAGTAAACAACAACAATTTTCATTTTCTCCATAAGAATAACTTGGGAATTTTAAATTACACTATTTTTGAATTTTCTCCGTGACCATTAGGCATACAACAGCGCCTCAATGTACAAAATTATTTCTTTTTTTAAGCTCTACAAAAGGGTTTGAAAATAAATTGAAAATTTTTTGGTTTTTAGGGTTAAAAATGGGGTTTTCCCATTTTTACCCCATAAAACCACCCATAAATCCCCGTTCCCATGGTCCGATTATGCTGGATCGCGAACTCATTCGAATAAACGTAGGTTTACATGTTTGTACTAAATTTCATCAAAATCGGGTAGTTTTTGCTCGAGTTATCGCGCTAACTGACACATATATAGGCTATATACAGGGTGAGTTTTAATTGTCCCCCCCCCCAACTTTTTTCTACATTTTTCAAATATCAATCCCAGACCACTTCCAAACATTGTTGGGTAGTAAGTACTTCATTTTGACAAGGTGGTCATTTCCGGCCGCCATCTTGGATCCGCCATATTGGATGCAAAATTGTTTTTTCAAATGTAAATGTGGGGTTGTGACCCATTATTTCGAACTAGATTTTTACCCTAATTACAATGCCGCAAACTGTTTAAAAAAATCTTGATTCATTCTAAAGTTATGAGGGCTTTTTAAAACTTTATTTTTAGCCCATTTTAACATTGTGCATTTACAAACTAAGACCATAATCTCAAAATAGTGCTAGATAAAGATAAGTATACACTACCAGTAATTGTCGACCTATTTTCACTTGGTTATGACTGATGTATTTTTTTCGGCCGCCATCTTGGATCCGCCATTTTGAAATGTGATAAATTATTTTAAATATGAAGGGGGTGTTGTGACCCATCATTTCGAACTACTTTTTTAAGCTGAACTTAATTCCATGATCCGTTTTTCATTTTCATTTTTTGATTTTTAAATATTGACATTTATTACAAAAAAATTGCAATATTTCATAAATAAAACTTGATAACAAAAAATGAATTGCGGCATTGAGTTTAGCTTAAAAAAGTAGTTCGAAATGATGGGTCACAACACCCCCTTCATATTTAAAATAATTTATCACATTTCAAAATGGCGGATCCAAGATGGCGGCCGAAAAAATACATCAGTCATAACCAAGTGAAAATAGGTCGACAATTACTGGTAGTGTATACTTATCTTTATCTAGCACTATTTTGAGATTATGGTCTTAGTTTGTAAATGCACAATGTTAAAATGGGCTAAAAATAAAGTTTTAAAAAGCCCTCATAACTTTAGAATGAATCAAGATTTTTAAAAACAGTTTGCGGCATTGTAATAAGGGTAAAAATCTAGTTCGAAATAATGGGTCACAACCCCACATTTACATTTGAAAAAACAATTTTGCATCCAATATGGCGGATCCAAGATGGCGGCCAGAAATGACTACCTTGTCAAAATGAAGTACTTACTACCCAACAATGTTTGGAAGTGGTCTGGGATTGATATTTGAAAAAATGTAGAAAAAAGTTGGGGGGGGACAATTAAAACTCACCCTGTATATAAATATATATTAAAATCAAAACATATATAACAAAGTACCCTTTTAGTAATTATTTTACTTTATAGTAGACTTTATTATAGTACTTTGTTATATATGTTTTGATTTTATTATATTAGTAGCCCTAAAAATGCAAGAAAATAATAAATATATATATATGAATTTGAACGGATGGTGTTTTTGGCCTCTAGGGACCTCAAAATGAAAAATTAAATCGGTCTCGGATCCAGGTCTTTCCATGAGTGCTACGGTAATAGCTTATTCCCTATATGGGAAATTCGCTAAAACAATTTTCTTCTTGAAACGGCTAAATGTACATAGCCACAACATAAGATTCAAGCATGAAATTGACATTTCCTTTTGTAGATTGACCAAAGCAGCCAAAAGCTCTATAGTTATAGGGCTTAAACTTTACAATATACTTCCTCATCATGTCAGAAATATTGAATCCTTAACTAATTTTAAAACTATCGTAACAAATGCTCTTCTAAAGCACCCACTTTATTCTGTTAATGAGTTTTTACATTTAAATGCTACTGATTTTATAGATTTTAAGTAACATTTTATTTTATGATATTTATTCTCATTTGACAACTGTGATCTCTTCTGTAAATGTATGTTCCATAAGGTTCACTGTGACAATGTTCATGACTCTTGTTACATTTTTTAGTGTATAGCTTTGACAATGTCTATTGCACAACTGTTTCTAATGACAATAAAGGATTCTTATTCTTACAAAGAAATTTTGGTAAACATCGGGATTTGACCAAGACAATGCATAATAGGTTGGTTTGGTAGGCTATTTTCTTGAACCACTATGACTTCAATATCAAGTATAAGGAGGGTAGAAACAATGTGTTGACGGATGCACTCTCTAGACTGCCCAGCGAGTGTGACCAACCATCAAGAGAAGAATTGTCTGCAAAACTACTGGTTCAGTAAAAGATAGATGAAATGGCTCTGACATCAAAGGAACTGCAAGAAGAAACTAGAAAAGATGAGACTTGCAGGCGTTTAATGATGTTTATGGAATCACAATGGCCACAAAAGTTTCCTAATGATCTGTTGTACTTGTCTCAATTTTTTCACAGACAGGAAGAACTCTCTTCTGTTAAAGGAACTCTGATGTGGGGAAATAGGATAGTAGTCCCACAGATCCTTCAAAAGAAAACACTAAAACAGACTTGCAATGGGTGTCAGATGAACCGTCCAAGGGAACCTTAGGTAAATCTGTACTTGGAATGTACCAAATGGTCCATGGGAAAGTTTACACTTGGATTGTGCTGGGCTGTATGATGGGTGGTATTGGTTAGTTGGTGTAGATGCTTTTTCTAAATGGCCAGAGATATCGATGGTTAGATTGAATACGCCTGCCAGTACAGTGAACAATTTACAGGAATGGTTTTCTCGCTATGGAGTTTCTAGGATGATTGTCACTGACAATGGGATACAGTTTACAGCAAAGGTCTTTGAGAAGTTTTGCAAGGATAACACAATAAAACATGTCTGCAGTACACCGTGTCATCCGAAGACGAATGGACAAGTTGAATTGTTCATCAAAACCTTAAAAGCGAGATATTTGTCCAGTAAGGCCAAAATCAACTAGCAAACCTCCTTCAGAACTGTTCTTCGGCAAAAGACATAGATCTTCTTCAGACAATTTAAAGCGCACAGTTAAAGACGTGATAACAGAATCAGTTTTTAAACAAAAGGAGTATCACAATGAAAGAAGTAGACGTAGGGAGTTTTCTGAGGGGGAAGAAGTCTGGGTGCAGAGAGAAATAGGTGCCGGCTGGACTCCAGGATTAATTTCAACAAGAACTGGTGAGCTATCCTACCAAGTTATGGTTGATGGACTTCTGAAGCGAAAACACACAGACCAACTACGCCAGAGAAGAGGAGCTTTATCTGAAGGGAGATAAGTGTGATATTGGATCACATGTTTAATAGTATTTTCTCAGGGCCGTCCCTAGGGTTGGCGGCGCCCGGAGCAAACATGGTCTTGGTAGTTTATATAACAAGAGTTTTACTTACAACTTCAAACCATACAACTGGAAGAATTGTGCCATCATCAAATACATCAAGTTGTGAAGATCGTTTGGACTTCCTAACCTGAATGTTGACTTGAATTCTTGAAACAGTTCCAAGAGTAAATCCAAGAATCTGAAATCCAATAAAAATGCTAATGAGTGTTGCATGAGTCAGTGTTTCATTACAAACAAAAACTAGTTGTGTTTATAGTATGGTGAGTTGGTGGCTCAGTTGGTAGCGTCAAAATCTATATAAGTTATTAAAGGACTTATTGTTTAAATATCATGCATGATGTTGCTTGTTTCATTTCTGAAGCTGCTTGCATATGATGCGAAACTGAATTATATACCATTCTTAGGTAGCCTACCAATAAAATAACAAAAAGCCACTCAAGCATTTTCATTTGTCTCCCTTTTATCTCACACATATTTTATTCATACTTGGGTTATAAAACACCCTTGTATGATTAACAACTTAAAAATTAATTGATGAAATTATTGATTCAGTATGTACTTAATTCATAACTTATTTAGCATGACTGTAACAAATTGTAAATGACATAATTTTAAATGTTAACAACACTTTAAAACTGTGATTGATGCTCTCTACTCACTGGTTGTATATCTATAAAAAAGTCATGTTTCTCCGGATCAGGGTCCAGACCCTTGAGGTGGGCTGTCACGGCTGGGTCTGCATGCATGAAGTGAGGGAATGACATCATAATTGGGACCCCTGAAAACAGAATGAATAATTGGTACCACTCAAAAAGATTAAAATAGTTGCTAACATTCTATACTTTTCTATGGTTTTTAACTATGTTTTTCACTTAAGTCAATCATTTTGCAGTAAACACCATGCTAATATTAAACTTTAAAATTTGGTTTTCATGATGGGTACTTTGAACGACATCATAGCTGACAAAGACCGTGCGAATGTGTAACTTTTGAACCTTTGTATGACCTTACTTTACTGGTCGTTAGATTCTTTGTTACAAAATCCACCTAATTAACAACTACAAGGTATTAAATAGCCTGTGGCGGACCTACCATAATGATAATGCACACTAGGCACGTGCCTAGGGTCGCCCGGTCGCGGCAGGTGGCGGGCGGTGTATCTGCGAGCAATAGGCGGCGGGCGTGTGTCATGAAAGCAACGTTTAATGTAAGAACATACTTTCATAGTTCCTTAACAGTTTGGTTTTTGTAGTAAAACTGATAAACAATGAACAATACTTTATATTCAAGATACAAAGAACATAATGATAATTGACTAATTGTTCACTATTTTTGTCATCATATTGTATTTAAGTATTCTGTTATATTAAAAAGAAAAATACAAGTTTAAAGGAATTTTACCTGTTTGTGTTTAAAAAGTATTACTACAAGATCTTAAGAGTAATAAATCAGCAAACTTAACAAACCTTGTGAGCTGTTTTATTTTGAATCTTCTTCGCCAAAAATGGTAAAATTAAGGTATGAATATTTTCATAATAGTATAGTTATAGTGTGTAAAAAATGTCTCCCCCCCCCTATTTATTTTTTTTATTTTTTAAAATAATGAAATATCGTTTGGGGAGTGATAGTAACATAACGTGAAGTTTCTTTTGACATAGTTAAAATTTTTGAATTCCCCCCCTAAATGGGGGGTAAGGGGGGTAACTCAAAATTTTTAAATGTAAACCCCTAGCTTGTGACACCTCATTTGAAAGAGCATTAAAAAACTAGGTAAATGGTGAAAATTAGAAATTTCTATCTAATTTCTAACCGGAATTACAGCCAAAAACGCTCAAAATACGATATTTTTGGGAAACTCAAAAATGTAATTATTGCATACACCCTTTGAGTGATCCCTCATTTGAAAGATAAATAAAAATCAGGCCAATGATAAGGATTAATAATTTCTAACAGGTAATTAGATGGTTTTTTATGATTTTTACAAACAAACTAACCTTAAGTGCGAAATAACAGTAGCGATGTTGTGTTCACCAAATAAATTCACAGCAAATGTTCAAACTGAAGTCCTCCTACTTCCTGACAGTAAAATAAACGAGACGTGAACTCTTCCCTCACGTTATGGAATGTTTCCTCAGTGATTTTTCTGCAGGCTTCAACAATCCTGTGTCTCAAGTCTTCAATATTCTGTACGGGAGTTTTATAAATTGTCGATTTAATAAACCCCCATAGAAAAAAATCCAAAGGTGTTAGATCGGGGGACCGTGCTGGCCATTCTATCCGGCCACGCCTGCCAATCCACTGACCATTCAGTTGTGTATTTAGAAATGCTCGGACCTGTCGATGAAAATGAGGGGGAGCGCCATCCTGCTGGAAGTGAACAATATCTTCATCAAACTCATGTGGATGTTGTGCAATAACTTCCACTATGGCTGGAAAAACCGACTCTTGAAGCATTTGCAAATAATGTTCTCCATTGAGGTTGCCATCGATGAAAAATGGTCCTAGGATATGATTACCCAACATCCCAGCCCATACATTTAATTTTTCTGGGTACTGCGTTGAGGATTCTCGGTAAACATGGGGGTTTGCAGTATCCCAGTATCTGCAGTTATGTTTATTGACAGTTCCATTAACAAAAAAAGTGCATTCGTCTGAAAAAGCTACATTATACACGAAATGTGGATTTGATTAGTTCTTCCATTTCTTCGCAAAATTGAAGTCGACGGTCTGGATCATCGTCGTTTAATGCATGGACAAGTTTAAATTTATAAGCGTGAAATTTATTTTTCTTTAAAATATTTCGAACTGTTTGATGGGATAAGTCACACAGTGTAGCAACTGATCGAGTCGACTGCTGAGGATCCTCTACAAATTCTGCCACAACTTCAAATTGTGTTTCTTCGTCTAAAGATGTTCGGCCTGATTTTGGAGCATTAGCTACGGATCCAGTTCGTCTGAACTTGCCAATTAGTTCCCTCAAATATTTTCGACACACTGGTCGATCAGGATGTGCTTCGTTGAATCTCCTTTCTGTCTCGTGGTAGTTTTCATTCGAGGCACCAAAAGTTAAAACCATTTCCACCTTATCGTCTTTGCTTCGAGCCATTATTAAAAATTTCTAATAAACTTTTAACAAAAAACTAACTATTGAATAAAGAAACTAAATTAAAAAACCTGACTAACTAAATAGCAACAAACTAACAATTAATTATTAACCTTAGAGAATTTTAATGAACAAAAAAGTCTTTACAGTTATCAAATAGTTACATAATTGTTATTATTAAATAGAAATTGAATTTATGCTGCAGTACTGACCTAGACCTGTCTGTAACAGCTCATTGACAGAATGAGTTGAGGAAACCCATGCCAGGGCAAACAGGGAAAACCGGCTGAGCAAAGGTCATCTAATGAAACAAACTCATGTTCACGAAAATTTCTTATTGTAATAACCTTAAATTTTTAGTTTGTACTTGCTCTGTTGTGGATAACCAATACATTTCATTTTCACTTTTTTTCAAAAGATGTTATTTTGCACTTTTGCAATAATAAAGAAATAAAAGATTTTATTAAAATAATAATTTATTAGCTGTAGAAATTTTTGGCTGTAGGAAGTAACAGTTTTTTAATTTAATAACATAAGCCTGATTTTTATTGCTCTTTCAAATGAGGGGTCACTCAAAGGGTGTATGCAATAATTACAATTTTGAGTTTCCCAAAAATATTGTAATTTTGAGCGTTTTTGGCTGTAATCCCGGTTAGAAATTAGATAGAAATTTCTAGTTTTCACCATTTACCTAGTTTTTTAATGTTCTTTCAAATGAGGTGTCACAAGCTAGGGGTTTACATTTAAAAATTTTGAGTTACCCCCCTTACCCCCCATTTAGGGGGGGAATTCAAAAATTTTAACTATGTCAAAAGAAACTTCACGTTATGTTACTATCACTCCCCAAACGATATTTCATTATTTTAAAAAATAAAAAAAAATAAATAGGGGGGGGAGACATTTTTTACACACTGTATAGTTCTTTATAATTGTCATTATCATATGATACATGATATCTATACTTATAAAAGGCAAAGCCCTCACTGACTCACTGACTCACTGACACACTCACTCATCACTAATTCTCCCACTTCCCATTTACCTAGGAGGCTGAAATTTGGTACATTGATTCTTTAGGCATTAAATAGGAAAACTAAGTTGTTTTTATTCTGACCGGACTCTCGGGCTCCGCCCCAGTGGCTCTGGAGTTTCCCATGTTAGCCTTATGATTTTTCATATTTAAAAGGAATTAATGAATCTTAACAGCTGTTTCAATTAAAGAAGTTGGTTCTGTTCTATGATGTTCAATTGCATTAAAGTTACAATGATTACCAACAGGGTGCAGCACTATTATTTATTTTAATTTATGACAACAGCTAATTTGCAACCAAAAGGTGAGTGAGCGTAGCGAACGAACTTCAACCTGGAGACGTGTTAGCGTAGCGAACGAGCTAAGCTGAAGGCAAGTGAGCGCAGCGAACGAGCTCCAACCTAAAGGTGAGTGAGCGTAGCGAACGAACTTCAACCAGGACGTGATTGAGCCATGCGAACAGGATCATCTTGAAAATTAAGAAGTTAAACGGGGCAAAGCCCGCGGGTACAGCTAGTTATTACATAAAATAAATAATTAAGTTCATAGAAATTAGAAGAAAAAAAATAGAAAACCAATTTAAACTCACATGTTGATTGAATTTTGTCAAGAGCGGAAATGTGTCCGGCAATAAATTTAGGCTACTCATATTCATTCTTGCCTCAATCACAAAATATATATTTTTCATAGAACCTATAAATACAACTTTAATCTAATGTACTCATATTGTACTATGTCTTTCTTAGGAAAATGCCAAATGGAAATAAGCATGCCAACGACAGGAAATTTAATATCGCTATCACGTTGAAACCTTTCTTTTTTCGCAAAACACAAAGTGGCCGTAAGGGCCTAGGTGCGGCGCCGTAGGTAAGTCCGCCACTGTAAATAGCTAATAAGTTATTAGTTTAGTTAAACTCATGCAAATATTACACTGAGTTAAACAATTTTGTTATTTTATAAGGAAAATTAATTTAAATGAAACAGGTTCAAAAAAGGTTGACAGAGGGAGGACCTACCATTAGCACACGGAGATACATCAAAGACACCTACAGGGGGACAGGAGTTGTGTTTACAGAAGCAGCTACCTGTAGTGTTGTAGACATTTGATGGTGTGTGAAATCTCATACCCAGAACACCATCCTGGAACTACAACATACCATTAGCACACAGAGATACATGAAAGGCATCTACAGGGGGACAGGAGTTGTGTTTACAGAAGCAGCTACCTGTGGTGTTGTAGACATCTGGTGGTGTGTGAAATCTCATACCCAGAACACCATCCTGGAACTAAAACATACCATTAGCACATGGAGATACATCAAAGACAACTACAGGGGGGACAGGAGTTGTGTTTACAGAAGCAGCTACCTGTGGTGTTGTAGACACCTGGTGGTGTGTGAAATCTCATACCCAGAACACTATCCTGGAACTACAACATACCATTAGCACACGGAGATACATGAAAGACATCTACCGAGGGGCCGGAGTTGTGTTTACAGAAGCAGCTACCTGTAGTGTTGTAGACATCTAGTGGTGTGTGAAATCTCATACCCAGAACACCATCCTGGAACTACAACATACCATTAGCACACCTCCACACATCAAAGACACCAAGGGGGGGGGGAGGAGTTGTGTTTACAGAAGCAGCTACCTGTGGTGTTGTAGACATCTAGTGGTGTGTGAAATCTCATACCCAGAACACCATCCTGGAACTACAACATACCATTAGCACACGGAGATACATGAAAGGCATCTACAGGGGGACAGGAGTTGTGTTTACAGAAGCAGCTACCTGTGGTGTTGTAGACATCTAGTGGTGTGTGAAATCTCATACCCAGAACACCATCCTGGAACTACAACATACCATTAGCACACGGAGATACATCAAAGACACCTACGGGAGGACAGAAGTTGTGTTTACAGAAGCAGCTACCTGTGGTGTTGTAGATACCTGGTGGTGTGTGAAATCTCATACCCAGAACACTATCCTGGAACTACTACATACCATTAGCACACGGAGATACATCAAAGACATCTACGGGCGGACTGGATTTGTTTTTACAGAAGCAGCTACCTGTGGTGTTGTAGACATCTGGTGGTGTGTGAAATCTCATACCCAGAACATCATCCTGGAACTACAACATACCATTAGCACATGGAGACACATCAAAGACACCTACGGGGGGACAGGAGTTATGTTTACAGAAGCAGCTACCTGTAGTGTTGTAGACATCTAGTGGTGTGTGAAATCTCATACCCAGAACACCATCCTGGAACTACAACATACAATTAGCGCATGGAGATACATCAAAGACAACTACAGGGGGGACAGGAGCTGTGTTTACAGAAGCAGCTACCTGTGGTGTTGTAGACACCTGGTGGTGTGTGAAATCTCATACCCAGAACACTATCCTGGATCTACAACATACCAATAGGGCACGGAGATACATCAAAGACAACTACAGGGGGACAGGAGTTGTGTTTACACCTGTGGTGTTATAGACATCTGGTGGTGTGTGAAATCTCATACCCAGAAAACCATTCTGGAACTACAACATACCATTAGCACACAGAGATACATCAAAGACATCTACCGAGGGGCCGGAGTTGTGTTTACAGAAGCAGCTACCTGTATTGTTGTAGACATCTAGTGGTGTGTGAAATCTCATACCCAGAACACCATCCTGGAACTACAACATACTATTAGCACACCTCCACACATTAAAGACACCAAGGGGGGGGGGAGGAGTTGTGTTTACAGAAGCAGCTACCTGTGGTGTTGTAGACATCTAGTGGTGTGTGAAATCTCATACCCAGAACACTATCCTGGAACTACTACATACCATTAGCACACGGAGATACATCAAAGACATCTACAGGGGGACTGGATTTGTTTTTACAGAAGCAGCTACCTGTGGTGTTGTAGACATCTAGTGGTGTGTGAAATCTCATACCCAGAACACCATCCTGGAACTACAACATACCATTAGCACACGGAGATACATCAAAGACACCTACAGGAGGACAGAAGTTGTGTTTACAGAAGCACCTGTGGTGTTGTAGACACCTGGTGGTGTGTGAAATCTCATACCCAGAACACTATCCTGGAACTACTACATACCATTAGCACACGGAGATACATCAAAGACATCTACAGGGGGACTGGATTTGTTTTTACAGAAGCAGCTACCTGTGGTGTTGTAGACATCTGGTGGTGTGTGAAATCTCATACCCAGAATACCATTCTGGAACTACAACATACCATTAGCACACGGAGATACATAAAAGACAACTACAGGGGGGAATGGAGTTATGTTTACAGAAGCAGCTACCTGTGGTGTTGTAGACATCTGGTGGTGTGTGAAATCTCATACCCAGAACACCATCCTGGAACTACAACATACCATTAGCACACCTCCACACATCAAAGACACCAAGGGGGGGGGGAGGAGTTGTGTTTACAGAAGCAGCTACCTGTGGTGTTGTAGACATCTAGTGGTGTGTGAAATCTCATACCCAGAACACCATCCTGGAACTACAACATACCATTAGCACACGGAGATACATGAAAGGCATCTACAGGGGGACAGGAGTTGTGTTTACAGAAGCAGCTACCTGTGGTGTTGTAGACATCTAGTGGTGTGTGAAATCTCATACCCAGAACACCATCCTGGAACTACAACATACCATTAGCACACGGAGATACATCAAAGACACCTACGGGAGGACAGAAGTTGTGTTTACAGAAGCACCTGTGGTGTTGTAGACACCTGGTGGTGTGTGAAATCTCATACCCAGAACACTATCCTGGAACTACTACATACCATTAGCACACGGAGATACATCAAAGACATCTACGGGGGGACTGGATTTGTTTTTACAGAAGCAGCTACCTGTGGTGTTGTAGACATCTGGTGGTGTGTGAAATCTCATACCCAGAATACCATTCTGGAACTACAACATACCATTAGCACACGGAGATACATCAAAGACAACTACAGGGGGGAAAGGAGTTATGTTTACAGAAGCAGCTACCTGTGGTGTTGTAGACATCTAGTGGTGTGTGAAATCTCATACCCAGAACACCATTCTGGAACTACAACATACCATTAGTACATGTAGATACATCAAAGACATTTACCGGGGGGCCGGAGTTGTGTTTACAGAAGCAGCTACCTGTGGTGTTGTAGACACCTGGTTGTGTGTGAAACATCATACCCAGAACACCATCCTGGAACTACAACATACCATTAGCACACGGAGATACATCAAAGAAACCTACGGGGGGGACAGGAGTTGTGTTTACAGAAGCAGCTTCCAGTAGTGTTGTAGAGACCTGGTGGTGTGTGAAATTTCATACCCAGAACACCATCCTGGATCTACAACATACCATTAGCACACGGAGATACATAAAAGACAACTACAGGGGGACAGGAGTTGTGTTTACAGAAGCAGCTACCTGTGGTGTTGTAGACATCTGGTGGTGTTTGAAATCTCATACCCAGAACACTATCCTGGAACTACAACATACAATTAGCACATGGAGATACATCAAAGACAACTACAGGGGGGACAGGAGTTGTGTTTACAGAAGTAGCTACCTGTGGTGTTGTAGACACCTGGTGGTGTGTGAAATCTCATACCCAGAACACTATCCTGGATCTACAACATACCAATAGAACACGGAGATACATCAAAGACAACTACAGGGGGACAGGAGTTGTGTTTACAGAAGCAGCTACCTGTGGTGTTGTAGACACCTGGTGGTGTGTGAAATCTCATACCCAGAACACCATCCTGGAACTACAACATACCAGTAGCACACGGAGATACATCAAAGACATCTACCGAGGGGCCGGAGTTGTGTTTACAGAAGCAGCAACCTGTAGTGTTGTAGACATCTAGTGGTGTGTGAAATCTCATACCCAGAACACCATCCTGGAACTACAACATACCATTAGCACACCTCCACACGTCAAAGACACCAAGGGGGCGGGAGGAGTTGTGTTTACAGAAGCAGCTACCTGTGGTGTTTTAGACATCTAGTGGTGTGTGAAATCTCATACCCAGAACACCATCCTGGAACTACAACATACCATTAGCACACGGAGATACATGAAAGGCATCTACAGGGGGACAGGAGTTGTGTTTAAAGAAGCAGCTACCTGTGGTGTTGTACCCATCTAGTGGTGTGTGAAATCTCATACCCAGAACACCATCCTGGAACTACAACATACCATTAGCACACGGAGATACATCAAAGACACCTACGGGAGGACAGAAGTTGTGTTTACAGCAGCACCTGTGGTGTTGTAGACACCTGGTGGTGTGTGAAATCTCATACCCAGAACACTATCCTGGAACTACTACATACCATTAGCACACAGAGATACATCAAAGACATCTACGGGGGGACTGGATTTGTTTTTACAGAAGCAGCTACCTGTGGTGTTGTAGACATCTGGTGGTGTGTGAAATCTCATACCCAGAATACCATTCTGGAACTACAACATACCATTAGCACACGGAGATACATCAAAGACAACTACAGGGGGGAAAGGAGTTATGTTTACAGAAGCAGCTACCTGTGGTGTTGTAGACATCTGGTGGTGTGTGAAATCTCATACCCAGAACACCATCCTGGAACTACAACATACCATTAGCACACCTCCACACATCAAAGACACCAAGGGGGGGAGGAGATGTGTTTACAGAAGCAGCTACCTGTAGTGTTGTAGACATCTAGTGGTGTGTGAAATCTCATACCCAGAACACCATCCTGGAACTACAACATACCATTAGCACACGGAGACACATCAAAGACACCTACGGGAGGACAGAAGTTGTGTTTACAGAAGCAGCTACCTGTGGTGTTGTAGACACCTGGTGGTGTTTGAAATCTCATACCCAGAACACTATCCTGGATCTACAACATACCAATAGGGCACGGAGATACATCAAAGACAACTACAGGGGGACAGGAGTTGTGTTTACACCTGTGGTGTTATAGACATCTGGTGGTGTGTGAAATCTCATACCCAGAAAACCATTCTGGAACTACAACATACCATTAGCACACGGAGATACATCAAAGACATCTACCGAGGGGCCGGAGTTGTGTTTACAGAAGCAGCTACCTGTAGTGT